ATATTTAACTTTGCAAAAAAGTATCTGAAAACATTCATAGAAAAACCATCTCAGGTTTGAGGATGATCTTAAGTAGAAAATTGGTTTCACATATGCAAATAACAGTAAATTACATTCAATATCTTCTTAAGAGAAGGAAAAGACAACAATGTAATTGTGTAGAAGAAATCATCCATACAAATTAGCATGCTTAAGTTAATGTATTTGTCCTAGGTTAATGTCCTAGGAGCATTTTATTTGGATTATCCTGCTTCAGTAATACTGATTACTATTCCAAATTCAAGCAGGCATAATTACTTCAATACTACAGTACTGAGGGAAAATGTACTCAGTCAACCATTTCACTACATAGCAAGTACAATTTTTTTTCTTTCAAATGCACATACATTGTCTCTCAAAGCCCCAGTTATTATCAAATTTCAAAAATGTTTGAAAACATTTGTGCTGTAAAGTATTTATTATAAAATTACAATTGTATTGTTCACAACATTAAAAAAATTACAAAAGACTACAATTTCTATCAAATTCTATTACAGGAATATGGATTAAAAATCCAGTTGTATATCAATAACAAACATGTTACTTGAAGCATAACAATTTTATAAACTGGCCTACACATACATGCTCCAAATCTTTCCTGCCAAATTAAATGAAATTATGATTATTTATCATAATCAATAGAGATGAAATCGCCATCTGTAAGTTCAGTGTGAGATGCAAACTAGATATCCTGTTTATACTATCATTATATACATCACAAAAATTATCCCAACCTAAGCACATGGCTTCTGCTGCAGCCTTAATATACATGCAGAAGAAAAATTAATAAAATATATGAAGAACATCCCAGACTATCGTACAGGAGGAAAATCCTCCTAACAGAATCCCATAAATAATTCACTAAAATATACTTCAAAAGACAAAATTCAACCATTTCAAAAAGTACAACTCAAACTTAATTTCTGATGATTGAGAAACTAATATTGAATTTGTGATATGGTTGAAGTAAAATGTATTTTAATAAAGCGACATTGCAGCTTAATCCAGATTCTAAAGATTGTCTTTACAAGAATTGAAAAATAAGGCAAATTTATCTTGAAATCAAGTCATCTTAACAGCCATCTGGTAAATGGAAATAGTACAAAGGTATTAGATAAGGATACTTAACACTCAATAAATTCTCATTTGGGATACATTAACCAAGGTGCAGTTACATGTGTATATTTGGGTCTGGTAATCACCATTGGTTTTTTTGTCTTCAAGGAAGCATGCATCATATAGACAATTAACCTAATTAACTCTTCCTTCACAAATACAATGTGCCTAACCTCAACCCTCCACAAAGTTTTATGTGTGTAGAGCCCTGGTTGCCATTTACATTAATGAGCACAGTGCCCATGCACAGCGCAGCACTAATGACTGAAGAATTCATATGGCATTAATTGATCAACTAAGCAAGAGCAGAGCAGTTCAGCCTTCTCCAGATACTGGGACAGCAGCTCTCAGCAGTCCAACCACAACTCTTCCAGAAATTTAATGGAAAAAGTCTTGCTTACTGCATTGTTGTATCTTAAGTAAATAGTATCGAAGGCACTGATACACAGTTTTTGCCTTAGCTCACTATAAGTAAATCATTCAAGTCCTAATAGCAAGTCTGTAATGGAAACCAATGGTACATAATTCAATGCATTTTCCTCCTTAGTGATGTTCTTCAACAACCTAGCAGTTGTCATTGCTGTAGCATGAGAAACATCAAGTTAAAAAGCAGTGCAGTGTTTAAATGTACAGAATCCATGGATTTAAGGGCTGGCTGTAGGTTAAATGCAGAACGCACGCAAAGGTCTCTTTCTTTCAACACAAAGAGGCTCAAAGGTTCCAAATATTTTTGATACAAGAGAAAAATTAACATCCCCTTCCCCCATTTGCTTTCCCCCTCCACGTGGGTACCCATAACTCTTATGCTTCAAGGGGAAAATGCTTGAAGTAGCAAAATAACCTACAGCATGGACCTCAACTGTGATTTGGAGCACCTGGCAGGTTCAGGAGTTTCTTAGAAGGGAGTCCCCCCCCCTTTTTTTTTTAAATGGAAGTCCAACTCAGATTTTTGAGTATTACTAACACAAAATTGAAATCATCAATTGCACTAATTAGTTTAACATATTAGGAGGTCATGTATCCCAATTTATAACCACTGGCATAACCAGTAAATGTTAATAACTCTACTGCACCATTCCTCCTATTCTAGTAGTTGCCTTCAGAGAGTAGTTTCCTTACACATACAATTAACACTATTGTACATACTGTATCTGTTTCAAACGTATTTTGGCAGTGTGATGAAATGTTGAGCAGGAAATTTTATAATAAAACAAGGTTCCTTTGCTGCTTTTTGAACAGCCTTAGTAACAACTCAGCTTTATACAATACCACAGCTGGCAGCATTTTTCATTAATTACTGGAATGCATGGAACCAATGTATAGGAACTTCAAAAGTCAACTTCTAAATAATTGGTCCTAGAAATCCATTTTCCAGTCTTACATCCTAGTCTACCAAGCTTTGGTATTTGCCTAGTGAAAAAGTCATTTCTAGCTGACCCAATGGGTAGACTAATTTCCTCTAATCACAAGTTAGATGCTGCCTCTCCCTTTTTTCCTATCCATCTCTTTATGGTAAAATCATCTGAAGAGCCTGAACACTAGTCTATCAGAAGGAAAAATGAATCTAAATGTAAGTGAATTAACTGCTTGATATCCTTCTCTCCCAGGAGAAACTTGCCATAGCAGTGCCCTAAGGTAATAAGTTTGGTTAGATGGAAGTAAATAATGCAAAGCAGGAATATAAATATATGGTTCAAATTAAAATGACATTTCTAATCTAAGGTTAAGGCAGACAAACACAATTTCTATCTTTTGTTTTAGAATTATGCCCAGATTAATGCTGTTTATGAAGGTAGGTGTTTATTAGAATCACCTTGAGGTAAGATGGGCAACCAATCAATTTTACAAATGAATATATTGTGGAAAATACAAAGCCAGCCATCTTACTATGGCCTATTTTTATGGCCATTATAACATGCCATTCAGGTGTTCTCTAAGAGCCTCTTTGATGCCACATTTAAAGGATAAGCATAATCTATATGGGTCATTCAGATACATAATTCCTTATGCCCTGATTATATTGGTTAGGTAAAGGTCTGAAATAGAGGCTCTTTAGTCTAAACTGGTAACATAAGAGCAATACTTTACACAAAAATGGATTTGCCTCTCAATAGCTGTGGGTAAAATGTAATTAACAGCTGTTTTACTCTTTTAGGAGTTTTCCATATACAGTATTGGTCAATATGTTTTTTACCAGTAGCTGGGATCAAATGACCTTCAGGATTGGTCTTTTCATCCGGGAATTCACAATAGAAGGGATATTGAAGAACATTAGTAAGAATCAGATGGGGTGGGTGTAAAAGCTCAAAGGTGTATAAAACAAATAGAATTAAAGAGTTTGAAATCCAGTGCTTCTTCAGCCACAATTCTTAGACCAAAATTATTTTAGAACACGATTCTACAAAACTTTACAGAAACCTTATGTCAGATGTGGCCACTTCTTCACAATTTCAAAAATTTGTTCTACATTTATTAGAAGTTCAAAAGGTGGGCATTAAAATGTTTCTGAACTGGTTTTGTTTCCTAAGGATGGTTATGTTTCTTTTCTCCATCAAGGGCTTCAGAAACAATGTATTTGGACTAGAAAAGGAAACAATTGAATTTGGCATGTTTCACCCAACTGCTACAAAAATATCTTATTAAATTATAAAACCAAACGTGTTTACATTTTCCTTTTTATTACAGGGTGGACAACTCACAGCCAACCTCCATTGCAGTTTTCGGAATCCAAAATACCCTAAAACAAACTACATATGCCCATCTTTTATTTGAAAGGATTCCTATTCCACCAAAATGGAAAAGAAATCGATAAAATCCTGTCCTTTGTTCAGTGGCATTATTCACGGTATAAGTCATTTCCCTTATGGCTCTTAATTGCAAAGCAAACAAATACAGAAGAGCTCTCAACAGTAAAGAAATTACCATTCTCTGCTGTAAACTACCAGGGCAATTTTCAAGCAGCTTACAAAATATCCTTATTGAACCTATGCAAGCAAAGATATGACAGTAGGAATAGCAGAAGCAAAGCAGCTTAAAGAAAGGACTGTTAAGGATAAAGTAAAATCAATCACATCAATACAATGTGTGCTGCCATATAAAAGTAGGTAAATCTGTTTAGGGGGTAGAACTAACCCATCAGAAATAAAACGTTGAGCTGTTGTCTTGGGTCCAGTTTGGAAGAACTATGGAATATGTAGAAACATTGATGCATAGTGCTTCTCGGTAGTTCAACAGACACATCAATTTCCAAGCTCCCAGAGTGTAAGGATTGGAAAGATAATCCTGGAGATTATTTAGTCCAATCTCAGTCTGATGCAGAAATCTATCAAGCAGCAGCTATGCAATCCAGGGGCAGATGTAACTATTTTCATGAGCTGCACGGTAGATACACCTGCATTCTGGTGTGCTGAGATTTTTCCTAAATCAAATCTAAAACATTACATACACCAACTGCTGCCCCGTATCATGCAAAGCAGCCTTTAGAACAGCAACAGGGATTTAGAGTTATTCGTGCCAATGGAAAGTACTTGACCAGCAGCTACAGCTAACGGAGGTAGTAAAGTATTCCATGCCCTTTTTTCCTGCTGAATAGATGTACGATGAGCTGAAAGGAGAGGTTATGCAATATTTGCCAGGTTCCTAAAGCCTTTATAAAGTGGGCTAGCAGTGAAAAGCATTTTCATAATTCAGATGGACTCAAATTTTATTGAATTGTCTTATGTCCAAGTTGGCAAGAACATACCATTCTAAAGTTAATCACAGAACCCATGGTTTTCATAAGATAACCTGAGCTTATGCACAATCACAAGGATAAAACTGAACCAGTCTGGTAGAATCTTTTTTCCCCAGTTATAAACATAAAATGGCTAAGTGTTGAATCTGGAAATCAATCCCCTGAATCTGTGGATGTGGCTGCTTTGTTGATGGCCAACTATCAAAAATTCCAAGAAAACGCACACTCTATTTTAATGATCCTGCCAAACGTGGGGATGACAACATTCCCCTTTCCAGTATAGAACTGATGTGCTAAGCTGGTAGCATGTAAAGGGAAGGAATAGAATGAAATTTGCTGCAGGCTTAGAATGATTCAGATGGCACAACTTGTTCTCAATAAGCCACCGTATTCCCAAAGGAAAGGCTGTCTCATCCGCACACCAAATGGATAACTGAGGAATGAGCTAAGTGTTGTTCTTCTTCCAACCTTCACACAAATGTATGCTTATGTTTGCTGTATAAATTTGGCTATGAACCATTTAATACAAACCACTATTTGATGAAAAATTGTTACAGACAAACCATTAGGGCAAACTCTTTAACATGTTGCACTATGTATCTGGCTTGGAGGAAATAATGGGACCAAAAAAAATATATATCTTTCTACAGAATGATCAACAAGAATGCCAAAGGTTTCTGTAAGGCATTCCCGGCACCACTAGCACCTCCATGGTAGAACGAAGTAAAAAGTGGCAATGAGATACAAAGTAAGTTACAGCAATGGAGTAAAGGATATGCTTCTTCTCCAACCTTGGCAATTTTAAGACCTGTGAACTTCAACTCCCAGAATCCCGCAGCCAGCAAAGCTTAGAGTTGCCAAGATTGGAGACCCCTGTATTAGACTGTAAGTTAATGTATATAAATTTAGTAATAGGGAGGATGAGCAATACCAGCATCATTTTTAGCAATAATAAAGCTTATCCCCTTACAATGATGGCTTCTAATTTAAAAATATAAATGACAATTTGCATTTTCTTCAAGACTATCAAAGCAGTTATTTAATAAAAAGTATTCAAAGATTCCTCAATAATTTTCCATATAAAATGTCAATTTTCCAAATGAGTTAGCTTTGAAACACATTAAACTTTCATGCAATAGCATGAACTTTAAGCCCAAAATTAATGGAGCCTTAAAATGTTTTGAATTTTACATGAACAGATTTTAAGAAAAGTATCTTCAATTTCTCTAAATGCTTATTTTACTAAAAGTATCAACATTTCCTTAACATGTTGCATTTGGATGAATTTGGACAGCAATTTTAAAGCCGTAACAAAAGTTGTTTTTATCAATATCAATCACAAATTACTTAAAGCTACTAGTGTACTAGTTAGGAATACAAAGGAAAGAAAGGAGGAAGATGTATCACTAAAAAGTAATTTACTTTTTCTATTTTTCACTGTTTTTTTATCTTGTTTTCCTATCTTTGTATATTTTCTTTGTATTTATTCTCTTTGTACTTCAACAATTAAATACAGATTATAAAAACAAATTACCTATAATGTGTGTATTTCAATAGAACAGGGTTTTGGTGGGGAGAAGCATTCAAGAATAGCAAGAGAACATCCAAGTTTGAGGTATTAAGATTACGTTGCATGTTTAAAACACTCATTCACTCTTGTGCAACAATGCAGTATTTTAAGGCCCAACTACATAAAAAAAATCAGTTGTGCAGATTATGCAACTGGTTACAGATATTATCATGGTAACACTGTCTCTTTGTTTAGGCTTGTTGGATATGAATATGATCTTCTCTAAGATCAGGATCAGCAATCTTTAAGAAGCTGATGGCAGTTTAGGCAAATGTTTAAAAGCATTCCAGATAATATTGTTATGATGCAATGTCAGACATGCAAATTTTGAAATAATTCTAATTCTAATCCAAGCATAATGCTTACTTATCTATGACCTTAATTATCAAGGATGTGGTGGTAGTTTTTAATCAACAGATTATAGATTCACAAAAAATAAAAAGTTTCACTATAACAAGACATGCTGAAAATGCAATTTCATAGAGTAATGATTTTACCCAAAATTACTACTGTTGATAACTTTAGTAATATTCGAGCAGTCAATCAAGTATTTATTTTGAGTTTCTCAAAATACTACTATTCTGTATTATTTATAACTTGGATTGAGTGTTCATATTTGGGTAGGTTCCTCTTTGCACAAACATTTGGGCACAACTCTAAATAGAAGTTGGAATTATTCAGATTTCTTGTGTTCTTCAGTAACAGAAAGTACTTTTCTTCTCTGATGTAACATGTGAAAATACAGCTGAGGGAAGCCTGAAAAACAACAGAATTGGGCAATTAAAAGTCAGGAGCTTTATCTGTGCACATTTTGATTAGTTTCATATATCCAAAGACTCTCACAAAAAGACATTGGTGCCTCAAAACATGCATTTTTGGTCTTTTTCAATATATCAAGGTAAAAAGCTACTCAGGATATGCTAATTCGCTAAACAGTTTTTCTTTGGACACCTTTCATTTCAATATTCAATTTACTGTATTTTTTTCTCTATGGCACACTGTATGCTTAAAGTAAAGGCTTCTTTAATTAATAAAACAAGTCAAAGCAAAAAGAAAACAATAGCTTCTAGCTTCAATATTCAGAAATTAAACTGTCCTTTCCTCTACTTCCTCTTCTTTCTATTATTCACTTTTATTTGGGCACTGTAAATCTGACCTTCTTTCAAACAAATCTGTATCTCACACAATTATCTCATTCTTGATGTAACAGCTGCAGAAAGTTTTTGTTCAAATAATTTCTGGTTCTCCCCATGAAAAAGCACTGGTTTGATAAGATTTATGCTTCAATTACAGCACAATACAATAAAAATGCTGGCTGTCTAATATCATATCTTCTTCTTCTTTTATGCCTTCGAGGCAGTGCTGACTCCTGGGGGGTGCCTTAGAAAGATTTTCAGAGATGGTATCGTCTAGTAATAGCAAAATGAAATTTGCAATGTTTGTTGTTCAATCAGTGCACCGATTATTACTTTCTAGTTCTAGGAAAACAGATGACAATGGGCTCATCCACCTGACCCTGATTCTGAGATGGACTGCTTACTGTTTGCTAAGGGCACTTCTTCATAGTGCAGGTCCCACCTTGTTGCCAGTTGCTTCTGAAGAAGAATGAAGTGGAATCGAGTGATCCAGCAGAAAAGTGATGTTCTGCTAGGAACAAGAACGTGGAGCTACCCTTGAGGGCTATTTGGAAGCTACAATTGGTCCAAAATGCAGCAGCGCAGACAGTTTGGTAGGATTCTAGGTGGCACATGTAACACTACTCTTAGGTGAGCTGCACCAGCTACCGATCTGGGTGCAATTCAATGTGTTGGTTATTGCCTTTAAAGCCCTTTTTGGTATGGGTCCAGCATATCTGCGGAATTGACTTTTCCCGATGGAATTGGTCCATCCCACTTGTACTGGCAGAAGAGGCTACTACAGATCCCATCAGCCAAGGCATTTCAGTGGATGAGATCCAAGAAAAGAGTTTTTTTCTGCCACGGCTCCTGCTCTTTGGAACATCTTGCCACAAGCGGTAAGACCTGCCCCTCTCTTTTATCCTTCAGAAAGGTCCTTAAAAGCTGGTTCTGAGGACTGGTCTCTCTAAAAACTGGTGGGTTTTTTTTTTTGTTTTTGCACAAGGTGCTTTTCTTGATAAGTGCTACACAGCCCACTGCCCATTCCACTCTGCCAATCTCAAGCACTGTGTAGCCTGTCCCGACCTTCCGCAAAGCCTGTCCCCTTCCTTGCTCCCTTGATGGCGGCTTTCCTTTGCCACCCTCAAGGAAGCATATGCTTGGATGGGGAGAGGGGTCTCCAACTAAAACTATAGGGAGAACAGCCTTGGAAAGCTGTTGTTTCTGGTGAACAAGAGAAAAGCAAAAACATCATCCCAAACAGTTCAATAGTTATAGTTGTGTAACATTATAAGTTGATATATATATTTTTTATTTAACTTGATATTTATTCTATCATACCAGGATGGCCATGACGAAAGGAGGGTGAGAGACATTCTTGATGTCATCCAGAAATAGGTAGTAAGAAACTCTTGCTGGACAGCACTGCCTTTAATAGCAGCAGCGGGAGCTGCTGCTTACTCACCCTTGAGGCATGAGATAAAAATAATGCTGGTGGGGGAGGCCATCAGTTTTGAAAATGAGATGCTTTCCTGGCTTCCAATGATGGAAGGGAAAAACATGTAAGGAAGGGCCCAATGTGAAATCTGCATATTCCAGCTAATGTGGAAAGTAACCAGAACAAAATGAAGGAAAGGGAGGTTTAGGAAGAGTTTTGTATATTTAACAGATGTATAGCTTTAGCAGATTACCATTATAACAATTGTTGCAGAAACCCCCTTCATAGATAAGGGATCTGTACATTTATGTTCATTGTGGTAATCTTAAACATACACATACAAGTTGGTGTAATGGTTAAGGGACAGAACTAGGTTGTGGATTACTAGTTGATTTTCAGCCAGAGAACCTTACTAGATAACCGGGGTATATTTTTCACATAGAATTCGGTTAGGGAACAACTCCTGGAATACAGGTCTGAAAATAATCCCGCCAGGCTTTTTGCAAGATTATTCTAGAATACCAACACACAAAATCTTTAACTGCAACAGATCACAAATATTTTCAAATTGTTTTAGATACATAAGGCAAGAAAATATGAACTGAGTCTGTACTTACTTGGAATGTAAGTTAGCATAACCAGGATCAGAAATGTGTAGTAGTCAAATGAAAAATTATATTTGTTAGGTAAACTAATAGAAAATAAACCAGATCGCTTGACAAAGGGAAGAGCAGCATACATTGTGAGCATTTCTCCAGTAACTCCCATTGGATATAGTATGATGAATAAAGTATACCTACAAAACCAAAATAAATATTCACATGGGGATAAAAGTCAGAGAGGCAATTCTACATATTGAAATTTCGATGACTTAAAGATACACACATTTTATAACCAAATCAATATAAAATTTGTTATAACTGATTAGTTATACCTTGTTTGAGGATAAAATATTCAAAGTTAAATAAACTGCAAATTTTTCATTTCTAGGAACTCAGGATATAATCCAATACACATTTACTCAGATAAAATTTCATTAAAAACACTGGGAACTTCTAGACACAAAAAAGAACTGCTTCATAAGTATAGGTTGTTGCTTCAGTACGATTCTGCAAAGGATTTCCTGAGCATTTCCTTAATCAAAAATAGCAAGACAGTTGAAAGAGGGGACAAACAAAGAAAAGGGAGAGAGAGAGAAGTATGAAGACAAATGGAAGAGTCATTTGACAGGTTAAAAATAAATGAAAGGAAAAGGAGTCCAGTAAGGGAGACTTCTAAATAGAAACAGTTTAACTACAGTACACTAACTGGCTATATGCTTTTGTGCTATACCAATTGTTACTGCAAAATAAAAATGCAATTGTTCATCAATTAGTTCTCTGAATATTCAAAAGAAATAAAATAATGCCCCCTCCATGCATGGGTATAATCTAAATTAGGAAGCAACTGATTCCAATAACCAGTTGCAACTTCTCTTCTCCCTCCAAGCATTCCTGCACATGCCTTATTAAGCAAAATTGATCCAAATCTATTGACTTTCTTCCTTTCCAAGCACAAAAAACAGCAACAATCCTAATATCCCCCTTCTCCTATCTTATAATTAATTGTAAGAAACTGAAAGAGCAGCAAAGGGTATTTTGCAACCCAATCAAACACAACTTCTCCAAGTTCAGCACCCAGATGTCCTTAATGATCTTCAGAGTCAGAGCAATTATAAGGCAGTCAACACATTCCCTATGCAAAGGGCTTTAGATGCAAACCATTTTAACTTCAAAACTCCTTCTTTGAAATGCTAAATGGGCTGTTCCAATCTTTTTGGAAATATTTCAAATTGGGCCAGACCTGTTTTGAATAGAGGTAGTCCTTAAGTTATGATGGCCATTGGGACTGATCTTGCTAAGTGACATAATTATAAAGTGCAACAACACATAACCGTGTGACTTAGCAATAGTATTTTCGTCTGTCCTGGTTGTCATTGTTAAGTGAGGCCCTCACCTGACCGAGTCTTCTGATTTCCTGCTGGCTTTCTCACTGACTTTACTTGCAGAAAAGCAGCAGGGAATGTCAGAAGTCACAATCACATGACTGTGGCTCACTGCAATCTTGTAAATCACAAACCAGGTACTGAGTGTACCAAATCACAATCATGTGAGCATGGGGATGCTATAACAGCCAGTCCTCCAAGAATTGGTTGCTAAGTCCTTGTTCAGTACTGTGGCAAGTTTAAATGATTGTTGGGTGAGTGACTGCAGTCTGAAGATCACTTCTAGAAGACTGAGCTTGAAATATTACATTACAAAATATTTAAAACATTTCACATCTGGAACAGTATCTCCATGCTCAAAATAAGTGCTTCAAATCCAAACGCTTTTCATGCTCCCATTAAACTCTTTCCTTACATAAAATGCCTAGTGCATTGAAGATGGTGTTTGATTTAGTTGTACGAGGTGCAATGGCAATAAAGTAAACTAAACTAAACTAGTGTCTGCTTGTTTCTCTTCTGCTTCACTGAGCTACTGTTTCTTAAACTGATAATTATTAAGTATTTAATCACCTTACCTGGCCCACTTGATAAAATAAGGAAGGTGGTTTAGTAAACTAAATGTGTAAAAAGAGTAACGGATGATCTCTGTGATCGTCCAGGCGACCACAAAAAGAAGGATGCTGTCTTCACTTTGCACCTATAAAAGATAAATGCAGCTATTGAAAGTGGAAAATAAATTACATATATAATCTAAAATATTAAACCGTGCTTATATTCTTTGACCCCAAGCAGGTGAATCATACCATACAAAATGAGGCTTCGGGATAACCATCCTTCCAATGATTTAAAGCTTTGCATATATAATCACACTAATTCATTCTTGTTTTTTTAAAAGCCATCTCAATTCTCCCTCCAGAACAGACTACAGGAAAATAGTTTTAAAATGATTTTTGCCTCCCCCCATCAATAAGCACTGAAATGGAGTCTTTTAAAAAATTAAAAATGTTGCACAAATGAATCTTCATTTTTTTAAAATATCAACTTCTAATTTGTATTATTATTCTAAAGTGAAATAATTAAAAGACAGCAAATGCAGCAGAAAGAAGGAGTCTATGTAATGCATTGTTGTAAAGAATTCTGGGTGACTTCAGATCAACACAGCTCCTAGCTCTACCAGTCAAAAGATACTGGATGGTTATTCTGTCTTTACTTAACAGATTTTCTATAATAAGAAGAAAAAAAAAGAAATTGTGTGAATAAAAGGAGGGTTCAAGTGGAAAACATTCTTAATAATCCCTGTAAAACTTTGTATTAGAGGCAATTGCATAATAAAAGCTTCATCTGGAAACTATTTCTGTTGTATTATAGAAAAGGATAAAGATTAGGAGAAAATTACATCTTTGGACCAGAGGACAGTAACACTTGTTATCTTTTGGGAATTGTTGCACACTTGGATGCAATGGCTCAGGTGTACAAAAAAAGGAAGGAAGGAAGGAAGGAAGGAAGGAAGGAAGGAAGGAAGGAAGGAAGGAAGGAAGGA